GCCTACCCCATCCCCCCCCTACCTGAGTTCCTCCAGCAGCCGCCTGTTGTGGTCCTCCAGCCGCACCTTGGTCGCGGCCGCGCCCTCCCCGTCCCGCGACATGCGGCGCACCAGGTCCTCCGCGCGCGTGCAGCCCTGCTTGTGCAGCCGGCACTCGTCCGCCAGGCGCCGCGCCTCCTCCAGGGCGCGGTCGCGCTCCTGCGAGCCAACGCAGGCGTAGCATACGGCCGGTTGGACCCGGGATCGGGCCTCTGCTGCGGCTCCGATCATGCTGTGTGGTGGGTGTGGGGCGGCAGCGAACAGCAAGAGCGGGCGGTCGGGCGGGCGGCGGGGATGTATGCGCACCAGGGATGCGCGCGTCAGGTCCCGCTGCAACGCCGCCTTCTCTGCCTCTAGGGCCGCCACTGCTGCCTCGAGCTCATGCTGCTGGCGCGGCTGCTGCTGCTGCTGCTGCTGCTGCTCAGGGGGCCCTCGGCGGTCGGCGGAGTCCATGGACAGCCGGTTACCCCATGCTCCTGGGCCAACGCCGTTGTCGCGCGGCAGATTGAGCGATTGGCGGTGCACCACCTTGATGGTGCCTGCAGGAGGTGCCATTGTTCGTACACTGTGAAGGATGCCTGGTCTGTCGACTGCGCCCAGTGCCCTGCTGAGCTGCTTGTTGCTGCCGCGTTGCGCGCTCGCAGGCGGAGAGCGGTGCGCAAGGAGAGAGGCAGCCCAAGAGTAGAGGCGCTATCAACCTGTACTACCAACAGGCTGCGACCTCCTGTAGAGGACGGAAGGCTGAGCAGGCTGCCAAGATCCTGCGTCGTGCTGACTTACAGGATCTTCCCCACAGACCTGGCGCAAACCACCAAGAACACCAATATACTTTATTTTTCACCGTCGCTGGGCTCGCCGTGCCAGTCGATTCGCTGTGCTCGAGATTGCGATTGCTGGCAAGTAGATTGTTCGCGGGCTTGACGCGTAAATTTAATATGATATGCGAGAAATTGTCACAACTGAACGTTTGCGCGCGGACAGGGTGCCGCAGCGCTGGCGGCGGCGGCGGCGGTCCTTTGTTTGAAGCCGTCCCGGTCGCATTGCGGCACAAAAGCGGGGCTCATCAATGCCCCGGCCGGCAACAAAAGCTACAAATCTGCTTGCCGTCTTTATTGATCTATCATAAATAGCCGGCCTGCAGCTTGCTTCAGCTGCAGGGGTCTGCCTGAACGGACAGTGAATTGTTGACCGCAACATTGCAATTCTTGCTTGTGAGAGGCAAAAAGCTGGACCAATCGGCACAGTGGCACCGCAGGGGTCCCAATAATAGCAGCTGACGCTGCAGCGGTTGGACTCCACATTGCGATCAAATCTGAGGTCTCTCAAATCGCAAACTTGCCGGGAGGCCGCCAGTGCTCACACACAACGGACCGATGCAAACGGGCCCTGTTCTGCCAGGTGGGCCCAAGCTGCAGCACCATCACAGTGAGGGGATTACGGCTGTTGGTGACAGATGCGCATTGTGGGCTCATTGCCATTTCGTGCCGACAGAACGGGTCCCATCGCTTTTGTCAAGGACGCGCCAAGCTGGTTGTGACCGCATTTGTTGACGATACAGAACAGCTGAAGCAATCAAACTCTCCAACAGGCTCAATAGGCAGGCACTCATGTCCTTCGAGGCGATGTGGGACGTGGGAGAGACTCGCGAATGAGAGGCGTCGCGGGCAGAGCCTGCCTAGGAGCCCCATCACTGATGCAGCTGAACACTGCCAGATGTAGCTGTTGGTCTGGAGCTGGGCACTGCGGACGTGTAGCGGCTCTGCTGCTACAACGGTGTCGTCAGCAACGAAAGGACCGCCTGCAGTCCGTGCATATGCCCTCATGTCCCCGCTCCATGACATGTGCCGGCAGCCGTTTGTAATGTCTCCAACAGCGACGTCACATCAATCAACATAAACTGGGCGTGTTCCATGTGCGAAGTGCATCGCCTCGACTTTGCTGGCAGCAGCAACAGCAAACCAGCCCAGCCCAACCTGCAGCCGTGCCTGCAGCAAGCAATGTGCGGTGCCTGCTCGCCTTCACCCCACTCGCACAACTGTCCGCGTCACATGCGCATCCGTCCTTTTGCTGTTGGGTTCGCACGCCGCAGACCTTCACACAGACTTGCACGCGAGAGCCTCCAGGTGCGCGCGGGTTCAGATGGCAGGCGGCGCAGCTCGTGCGGCCAGGCAGCTTGCTTAGCCTGGGTTCCACGTACAGTAGTGGCCTCAAAGCTCAGAAATATGTTTCACAGCTGAGGAGTGACTGTCGCGGACGGCTCGAGCCCGCGGCCATGTTCAGCCATCAGCCATGCTCCCACCAGCAGCACTAGCAGCGTTGCAGCTCGTTGAATTATTCAACCTTGTGTGATCGTCTGTACTGAGAGATCTGAGCGACTAGTTGCAGCCCACTGCACCACCGACCTCTTCCGCTGCACCATGCCGACCGTGCCACGCCGCCTCGCGCAGTCACGATGGCCGAGACCCTGACTCACCGCGCGACGCTCAAGGGCCACAGGGGCTGGGTGACAGGTGCGTGAAGCGGGCAGCTGGATGTCGGATGCTATTGCGGATCACAGTGCCGACCGCCCCCGGCTTTTCGCGCACTGCTGACGAGCACATGAAAACATCGCAGCCGCATGAAACATATGTGCGGTTGTGGTGGCCTCGGCTAGCCCCAACTGCAGCTGCTCATCCTGGCCAGGCCTGCGCACACCCTACCGCCCGTGGCCCCGCGTTGACACGCCCCTCCCCCCCCCCGGGCGGCGTCACCGCGCAGCCATCGCCACCCCCCTGGACCCTAACGCCGATGTGATCCTGTCCGCCTCCAGGTGCGCCGCCGCAGTGCAGCAGCCCGCGCCTCCAGCTCGCGCAGCTCGGCGGCTGAGGACCCCCCCCCCCCGCTTGCGAGCACGGCGGCCGCGCCGCGCCGGCCACCCCCACCTTGTGCCCACCCCGATGTCTCTCCCTCCCTCAAGCGCCTGCCCTCGCTCGCCTTCCTGCTCTCATCATGTCTCACCCCCTCAATCACTCCAGGGACAAGACCGTCATCGTGTGGAAGCTGGACCGCAGCGAGACCAACTATGGTGTCGCCCACAAGGCGCTCAAGGGCCACTCCCACTTTGTGCAGGACGTCGTGATCTCCAGCGACGGCCAGGTGCGCGCACTCGTGTGTATGTGTGTGTGTGTCGGTGTGTGTGAGAATGTGTGCGAGAGAGTGTGTGTGTGTTGCGGGTGGGAGGGGAGAGGGTGGTGGATGCGCTTGGCTTGTTGAAAATGGGGGTGTGCGAGGAGGTGAGCCAGGGGCGGGGGCGCGGCCTTGAGGATGGGCAGGCAGCGGGCGGGTGGGTTGCGCAAACGCATGCCCGCCGTGCGTCAGCGCCGGGCGTTGGCCGTATGGGAGCCCCTGCCCTGCCCGGCCTCGCGTCACGCCCTGTTGGCGCTCCCTGCCGTTGATGCTGTTGATGCAGCCAGCACCCCACACCCCGCACGGCTGCCTAACCCGCCCGTCCCGCCCCGTGCCCTTACACCCCGCCCGCTCCGCCCAGTTCGCCCTGTCCGGCTCTTGGGACGGCACCCTGCGCCTGTGGGACCTGCAGCAGGGCACCACCACGCGCCGCTTTGTGGGCCACACCAAGGACGTGCTGTCCGTGGCCTTCAGCGTGGACAACAGGCAGATCGTGTCTGGCGCGCGCGACAAGACCATCAAGCTCTGGAACACCCTGGGCGAGTGCAAGTACACCATTGCCGAGCCCGAGGGCCACAGCGAGTGGGTCAGCTGCGTGCGGTTCAGCCCCATGACCAACAACCCCATCATCGTGTCGGGCGGCTGGGACAAGCTGGTCAAGGTGTTCAACCTCAGGTGGGCGGAGCCGCAGACGCGCGCGTGCGCGTGTGTGTGTTTATATGAGGAGGGTGAATGTGAAGTGTTGGTGTGCGTGTTGGGGCTTGGTCCCAAGCAAGTGGGGCCGCGTTGTGCAGGGCTGCTTGGCGGGGCGGGGCCTTATCCAGGCGTGAGCCACCCCTTGAGGCCTGAAGACTCGCCACGCCCCGGCTCTTGTGCCTGCTGGTTTCACCCCCCTTGAACCCTCTATCGTCTTCAATCAATCCCCCTCCTACCCTGCGCGCGCGCAGCAACTGCAAGCTCAAGTGCAACCTGGTTGGCCACGCCGGCTACATCAACACCGTGACCGTCTCACCCGACGGCTCCCTGTGCGCCTCGGGCGGCAAGGTGCGCGGCAAGGGCCTGGCCAGGTGTTGCGGTTGGGGGTGTGGAGAGGCAGGGGGTCAAGGCGCAGGGCAGCTTCAGTGGATGGCTGGAAGGCATCTCTGTCAAACATTCGTCCGCCCCGCGCCAGTGGCGTTCGGATGCCGCGAGGTGCCGACATCAATCGTATCGCGGACGAAGACCACCGGCGGCAGCCGACCTGCCGCTGGATGATAAAAGGGCCGCCACATCCCCTTGCATCAAAGCATTGCAATGCACGAGACGCCCTCACACTCACAAGCTCCCTCCCCTTACCACAGACGACTGTCGAGTCTCTTTGCGCCCTGCGGTCGCAGTCGCACTGTTGGCCCCCCTTCTGCGCCCCTCCTAGGCGTCCCTGCCCTGTGGCGCTGTGTCCCGGGCCATTCAGCTGCCGGGCCATTCAGCTCATTAAACTCCTGCCTGACAGTCCCCTTCAATGCCCCCCCCCTTGCGCTGGACCCTCCCTGCTGCTGCACTCCAGGACGGCGTGGCGATGCTGTGGGACCTGGCCGAGGGCAAGCGCCTGTACAGCCTGGACGCCGGTGACATCATCCACTCGCTGGTGTTCAGCCCCAACCGCTACTGGCTGTGTGCCGCCACTCAGACCTCCATCAAGGTGGGTTTGGGGGAGGTCCCGGGGTGGATACGCCCAAGTATGCCATACGGCGTTCCAAGCCCCGCTATGCTCACCACGCGGGGAAAGGGGGGGTGGCCGCTGGCAGCAGCACGTCTGGCGCAGCAGCGAAGCGCGCTCGACTCACCCCTTATCGTGTGAACACATTGCGGCGACGACAGATGCATGCAACTTTGAAGCCAAAAGAAGCAGAAAGAGCAGCAGCACCCCAGGGGGCAGGCCCAGAAAATAGCCAGCACACAGCCCTGTCTGCGGCAACCAGCACTATCACCACTTCACAACCCACTGCAAACAATCCACGCCCAACCAACCAACCACAGATCTGGGACCTGGAGTCCAAGAGCGTGGTGGACGACCTGCGCCCCGAGTTCAGCAAGACCTTCGGCAAGAAGGCCACCATCCCCTACTGCGTCTCGCTCGCGTGGTCGGCCGACGGCTCCACGCTCTACGCCGGCTACAGCGACGGCGACATCAGGGTCTTCGTCGTCTCGCACGGCGTGTGACGGGGAGGGAACGCGCTCCTACGAACCCTAGCAGTTTCGGACACAGGCGGCCCGGGGGCGAACCGTTGCAGCAAGGCGGCCTTCCTAGCGGCGCCAGCACCTGCAGGCGCTGCGTTGCAGCCTCGCGCCGCTTGCAACCCGCATTCCGGCGCACTTGTAATCCGTTCTCGCCCTTGCCCTCTGCTCGTGGCCCTCAGCCCTGGTTACATGTGTTTGACCGACCCTAGCGCGTGCTTGCAGACGAGCAAGCCCAACGGCAGTGCAAATCAAACCAAGACACTGTCAATCACCAGCAGCTTGACCACCTTAATACAAGCATGCCAGCTAGGCTCGATCGGATTGCCTGTAAAAGGCATGAGTCGATGTGGTCACATCGTGCTAGCGGGCAACAAAGGGTCCTGCGGGCAACAAACAGTCCCAGGCAGCGGTCAGCCGCCACCATCAGCTTGCTGCTCCTGGGGGCCCCTGGATGCGCCGCGTGCAGTTGAAGGAAAAGGTGTTTTGGCGTACTTGGGAATCCGTTAGAACGCTGTGCTGCCACCTGTATCCAAGAGCCCAACTCAATGACTGCAGGGACGCGGGGCGACCACAGGGCCTGCTGCCGCCTAGACGCTCGCCCCTGCAAGCAATCAGCACGGCTGCTGATCTATGCTGAGCGTACCCTGGCAGGCTGACATAGAACACTGAGACGGCTGCAAACGGGAACGAGGCTACAGCCTCGATGACAAGAGGCGGATCCGCGTGGACGGGGCTTGGTCTGGGAGCGAGGAGCTGTGTGCCGAAGCTGGCAACAACCTCACCCTTGTCAAAGCCAGCAGCGCACCCCAGCGCAACACTTGCCAGCGCAACCACCAGGAACGATTCCGTGCGGGCGGCGATGGGACAGGCGCGAGGCTGCAAGACGGGACGGGCGTGGAGGATGTTTCCCAGCCGGTGGGCCCGGAGGCCGTGCCACAGGTGCCCATGCCGGCACTGCTGCAGACCCACAGCACGAGGCGTACCGCACTTGTTCAAGCGCATGCGCTGCGCTTGCACGCACCGCACCTTGTGGGGACGCAACAGGTGCCACTGCTGTCGGCCGCACCCTCGTCTGTAGCTGTGCACATGACCTCCCTGCGCCTCGGCCACCCTCAACTTCGCCCGCCCTCATGTTTTGTAGGCCGGGGGTGACAAGCTGCCAGCCGCGGTCCGCACCAGTGTGGCCTGGAACAGCAACAACAGGTTGATGCGACCCGATGACACCTGCTCTCACGCCGCTGCGCGGCTCAGCAGGGGGTCTGCTAAGGGGCTTCTTCAGCGTCGAGTTGCTGACCGGCTGCCCTACCTGCCAGGCCAGCAGCTCTCTCCAGGCCAGAAGAGGCGTCAGCCCTTGTAACAGGGCTGGCATGGGACAATTGTAATCCGACAGCCGCCCTCGTGATGTTGAACCCTGTGTCTGATGGGCTGGCGCCTGACTGCGCCGGTCTCGACCAAATTGACGCGCTTGCGGCGTCGCACCCAACCGGGCCAACGATTAAGGGCTGGCACGATTGAGCTCTCGCAGGCCGCTGCCAACCACTGACGGCATCACTGTGTGTGGCAGCATCGCCGCATTCACCATCCATGCTGCCTCCTCCCTCCTGCCGCACCCAAGCGCAGCAGCAGGCTGGCAAACTCCTTTCCCATCGCCGGTCACTGCCGCTGGCGCTGCTATACTTTTGCAAGCCACAACACAAGTGGCTACAGGACCCTCGTCGCAAATTGTTACCTCGCCACGTTGCCTGGTAACTGGCCACGTGCCCCAGGACAGATGTCAATGCCCCTTGTAGGCCCAGAGCAATATGTAGGCGGCGGCGTTGTGTGGCCGGAGTGTGGGCTAGGCACGGCAGTTGGCTGGCGTGGCCATTACACAGGTCCTGCTGCGCAGCTGCAGCGCGCCGCACGCCGTGCAGCCCATGCCGAGGCTGGTAGCGCTGCAAGCTTGCACCAATTGACGCGCTTCGCTCGTGCAACACAGCCCCGTGAACGTCTCCCTGCATGCTTGCAACTTTGGACGCTGCGGTTGCGCCCGTGCCTGTGCCCGTGCAAGTGCCCCTGCCCCAAAGCAACATGCTGCACCTGCGATGTGGCAACGCCCTGCCAGGCGGTGCCTTTGTTGGTGATTGGCATTGTTTGCTGCTATCCCTGCCAGGTAAGGGTAACTTGTGGCTCACGACTGCGAAGAGTGCGCTTCGGTCGGAAGTCGAGTTTAGGCCAGGTGCTCTGCTGGTGGGCAACTGCCACAGATACGGTACGGTACTGCTGACAATGTCTGTGGTGCGCCGGCAAGTGCAATCCACAAAAAAACGGGCTCCGGTTGCTCTCGTCGCCATCATCGTCACCTGCGCGTTGCCAGTATTCAACGCCATCCGTTCGCCGTTCCCCGCGCAAGTGATCTGGATCTTTGACGCTTGCCTACACTCTAAAAGCAAGTTCTCCTGTCCGTTACCTGGTGTGATACCAATCGCGATTGCGCTAGCATGGAACCTGCACAACTTTTGCACAACGTGGAGCGCACTCTTGCACTGCGGCAGCGCGCGGCGCAGCAGGTGCAACAGGAGCAGGAGCTCATGGAGCACGCCATTCAGGTAGGTAGGCTGGTGTGTATTGATGCATTTTACAGCTTGGACACCATGCCCAGCCGCTAGAGGCGTATGTGGCAGGGGTGCTGAGACACCGCATTGCCCTCGAGCTCGCACAAGCATGAGCCTCCGCCTCAAGCCGCCTTGCCGCGCTCCCACGGCTGGCTTTCCCACAGCTCGGCCTTGTGACACGTCGTGTGGCCGACGCAACAATGCGGCCCCCGCCACTGCTGCAACAGCCATCGCCGACGCCGCCCGCAATGCTGAGGCCTCCGCAACAGCCGCCGCAGCTGGTGTCCCCCAAGCAGCAGCGTGCAGGAAAAGATGCGCTCGAGGTGCCGACGCCACCTGAAGCACTTATGGCAGGCGCGGGCCGCAACGAGCTGGCAGCTGCAATGGCAGACGTCGACCAGGCGCAGCAGCTTGGTTGTGCCGCCGGCGTGGCTGGATTTGGTCTAGCAGGGGGGGGCCATAGCCAGTTGGAGGGCCACGCCAAAGTGCAACAGCAGGGTGGGCAGGCGGCATTGCAGCCGACCGCCGCGGCGTCAGCGTCAGCGCCAGCGTCAGCGTCAGCAGCACACGCTGCAGCGGCACTTCCTGTGGTCGAGGCGGGGACGGCTGCTGCCGGAGGTCCGGTGCCATCGTAGGCAAGCATTTGGGCCACACGGAGCACTCCTTGCATCCCTTTGCCCCATTACGAACTTGTTGTTGTCAATTTCCATCAGCCTCCAACAGGCGCACGCTCTCATCCATGAATCACCACGCCACGGCGCAACAAGGCACATCAACGCATGATTCCCAAAGTGTCATGATCACACCCCAGTGCGCAATATGGACCTCCCCTGCTTTGCCAACGTACACCTTTTTGCCAACACATGGCCAAGCATGCGGGCATGGCGGTGTGGTGTAAATGGCGTGCATGTGTTCAGAAAAAGGCACCGCGAAGTTGTCAAGAAGTGCGTAATGACGCGGCGGCGGATGGTGCGCCGATCTCGAGGGTGCCCCTGACTGCACACACCGGCTGGGTGTGTTATGGAAAATGGGCGCGCGAATGCGGCGCTTGTGAAACCCGCTTCGGTGCATATGTGCAGGGCTTCTGTGTTGAGCACACGAGCAGTCAACCAGTGACTGAGGATGACATCCTGCACACGATGTGTCACTGTGTGGCATTGAGCCGTGTCCGATGTTATCGCGGTGTCATTGATGACAGCTGTGATATGCCCCATACCCCGACCACACAGGTCTCGTGCTTCACGGCATTGGGCGCGACAGACTGCGCGCACTTCCCACGTTGGGTGTCATGTCCACGATGGCGTTCACCGATGGTTCATTGTGGATTTTGGGGAGTGGCTTAGTTTACGCGCTTTGTTTGGCAACGACATCTGTTCAGTGCGTCGATAGTGCCCTGTTTTTAGATCGCGTCGGTCGTGCCGTCCTGCAGGCCAGCACTATGTCCATGATTTGATCAGGATTGAGGGTGCCTGCCCTCCGCGGAGGGTCCTATGTGGTGGTCTCGAAGCCCCCACCGATCTCTGCCATGGCCCAGGAGGGTGGCGCTGCTCCGGTCGATGGCAATCTGCATAGCGAGTCAGTGAGGGTGAGTGGCGTGTCGCCGCAGGAACGGGGCAAAATAACAAGGCCGCGGTCAATTTGGGTAGCCCAGCCGATGGTTGTCTCCCCAGCAGCAGCATACGGTCTTCACAAGCTCAATAGTATAGCGCGGCTTCGCACGGAGTAGCACACGGGGTAGCTGGTTGCCTGCCGCCGTCGCCTACGTAAAAGCAGCGTACTAACGCTGCTGCATGTGCCTCCCTTCCTGACGCGCCGCCCCTGGGCTTAATGCTGGTCACCCCAGGTGGAGAGCAAGGTGAGGGCATCAAATCACATGGATGAGGGGCGGCTGCGGGGATGACAGGGCGTAGCAGCCTCCCGGGGCTTGACGCACCTCCTGGGCCTGCCGCCACGCCTGTTGCCAGCCAATGGTGCCCAATTTGCACCGCGTGCTTAGGTTGCGCCGCTGCCGAGAGTGCACTCGGCCTCCTGGTATCTGACGCCTGCCTGCACTACCTTATTGCACCACAGGTGCTCTATCTGGATTTGCGCGCCAACACAGTGAGCTGTGTCATGGTACCCACTGCTTTACTCCTATGATTACGGCTGCTAATCCAACCACAAGCGCTGTTCATGCGGCGCCCCCGCCCGGCCGCCTCGCCGGTTCCACGCACATGGTGGCTGCAATAATCCGCCGCGGATTCTTCACCAGTTACCTCGAGCCAAATTGCTGTGTGCACAGCAGACGCCCGTCCCACGCCTGACTCACAGGCCCTGCGCACTGTGCTGCTCCCAACTCATATACACACACACCCCCCCCCCCCCTGCAGCGCGGCCAGTACCTCAAGG